TGGGGCACCTGGCTGGCTCAGTCCGTAGAACATGCGACCCTTGATGTCAGGGTTGTAAGTTTGAGCCCCATGGTGGATGTAGATATAACTTCAAAATGAAAGAGATTTAGGGCGCCTGGGTGGCTCAGATGGTTAAGCGTCTGCCTTCGGCTCAGGTCATGATCCTAGGGTCCTGGGATCGAGTCCCGCATCGGGCTCCCTGCTCCTTGGGAGCCTGTTTCTCCCTCTGCTTCTCTCTCTCTGTCTCTCATGAATAAATAAATAAAATCTTTAAAAAAAAAAAAAAGATTTAAAAATAAAAGAATGGATCATTGGCTTTAAAAAAATTATGACTACTTGTTCAACCTACAGCCACCATCTATGTCTAAAAATGCTAAAAATAAAATAAATAAAAATGCTAAAAAGGTTAAACCAATGTACAGCAGACTTCTCTCACAGGAAGAATCAACTTCGAAGAAACTATAAGAAAGAGCTACTGTAGTATCTTGAAGGGTAAGTTACTGTATGACATTGCTGGAGAAACAATACACAGTTGGGGCGTCTGGGGTGGCTCAGTCGGTTCAGCATCTGACTCTTGATTTTGGCTCTTGTCATGATCTCAGGGTCCTGAGATCGAGCCCTGCGTCAGCTCCCTGCTCAATGGGGAGTCTGCTTGAGATTCTCTCTCCTTGTCCCTCTACCTCTGCCCCTCCCCACTCATGCTCACTCTCTCAAATAAACGTCTTTAAAAAAATTACACAGTAACTGAGAAATTTTACAAAAAGCTGTATTACACAGTGGACATTGCTGATTGTCTGCCGGATGAAAAGTAAAAATCACGGCAGTGTCATTTAACAATATATTGTCATATTAAACATTTATGTACAGACATAAAGTCTGCATTAGTATCTAGTCTGTAGAAGTATATTTAAACCTTAGAAGTGGATGAACCTACAAAAATGGCTGGGCTTATTTTCCACGTACTTGTCCTGCATCAGCTAGTCAAAGAGACTTCTGTCAAAGCTTGGCAAACACATGCCCTGAAACAGTTAAAAATGTTGAGTAGCTTTTTACTATTTTTTTTTTTTTTTTTTTTTTTTTTATTTTTTTTTTTAAAGATTTTATTTATTTATTTGAGACAGAGAGAATGAGAGACAGAGAGCATGAGAGGGAGGAGGGTCAGAGGGAGAAGCAGACTCCCTGCCGAGCAGGGAGCCCGATGCGGGACTCGATCCCGGGACTCCAGGATCATGACCTGAGCCGAAGGCAGTCGCTTAACCAACTGAGCCACCCAGGCGCCCTTTTTACTATTTTTTTTAAATTCATTTTTAAAAAGTAATCTCTACACCCACTGTGGGGCTCAAACTCACAAACCTGAGATCAAGAGTCACATGCTCTACCAACTGAGCCAGCCAGGCACCCTTTGAGTAACTTTTTAAAATCCCCTGTTTTAGGGCACCTGGGTGGCTCAGTTGGTTAAGTGACTGCCTTCGGCTCAGGTCATGATCCTGGAGTCCTGGGATCGAGTCCTGCATCGGGCTCCCTGCTCGGCAGGGAGTCTGCTTCTCCCTCTGACCCTCCTCCCTCTCATGCTCTCTCTCATTCTCTGTCTCAAATAAATAAATAAAATCTTTAAAATCCCCCGTTTTATACTGATGTTTTCACTAATGGTGAGAAAGCAAAAGTTGGCAAAAGTGCTGGCACCTTGGCATTAATCAAGGCAGTGGTACCGAAGTGTAGTCATTGTTTACGGCCATGCATTTGCAGGGTAAGGGGAGGGGTAGTAGCAGTTCCACTTAAGAATGTCCTTGTGAGGGACACATGGGTAGCTCAGTTGGTTAAGCATCCGACTCTTGGTTTCGGCTTACGGTTGTGGGTTTGAGCCCTGCGTCGGCTCCATGCTCAGCACTGTCTGCTAGAGATTCTCTCCCTTGTAAAAACATTAAAATCATTTTATGAAATCTGGACCTTTAGTATGTAACTTTAGTATGAGTAATGAAATAGAAAGTTTGCATGTAGTACTTCAGCTACATGTTTAAAGTACAGTGGTTGTTTCAAGAAAAAACACTCAGGCAACTGAGCTGCAGGCTGAATTAGCTATTTTCTTTTCACAGCATTTTCACCTAAATGACTGTCAAAGTTGGCTATCTGGCAGACATTTTTGCAAATATAAAGAAAGTGTACCTTTCAAGGAAAACAGCTGATAGCAGTTAATGACAAAATCTCAAGTAAAAATTAGAATTTTGGGAGAAGTTGTATCCAGTCTCAGGAGCTTCACATCTTCCTAATACTTAAAAGGACTTTTTTTAAAGATTCTGTTTACTTTTGCAAGAGAGCACACGTGCACACAAGCAGGGGTGGGAGGAATGGGCAGAGGGAGAAGCAGACTCCCCACTGAGCAGGGAGCCCATGCGGGACTCGATCCCAGCACCCTGGGATCATAACCTGAGCTGAAGACAGACACTTAGCTGACTGAGCCACCCGTTCCCCCCCGACCACCTTTTTTAATGAGCTAGGTGGTGATATTAAGCTAATTTGCACATATTATATAATGAACGGGGCCAACATTTCGGAGATTTATATAACTTGGTGAACCAGTATTTTCCAAATGACCAAATACATGAAATGACAAAAATTGCAAATAAGTAATATCTCAACCAATATAGAAGAGAAACAAAAATCCAGCTGCCTTCTCTTGAGGCAGACATTTAAGAGAAATGAATTGCAAAAAAGAAAAGAGTATTACTCTGTTAAAGTTACCTCCATGAAAATGTTAACATGAAGCATTTATTACTATTTTACATTTTTTCTCAGTTTTAATTTCTAATGTGGAAATTAAGAATTTGGGCTTGGGAAAAACTAACATAACCATTCTCTTTTCTAGTGAAAATGCTTTTATCAAAGAAAGTATCACTGAATAGCTACTAGCTTCACAACTGATTAGCATACTTGTTAGCCTTGAGACAAAAGTATAAGGGTGACAGTGGTAGGCCTCTTATAAACGATGATAAAGTACCAAGGTACAATTTGATTTTTCTCATAGAATTTTCAAACCTTCACCGTATCCCCCTGAGATTCCCACATAACCTCTCACCTAAACTTCTTAGGAAAGGCTAGGCAGAGAATAAGGGTGTCTTTCTTTTTCTATGGCTAGCTCACTAACATTTAATTTCCAACTGCCCAGTAGTTACCCTTGTATGTCTCACCTCAAACATGAACATATATTGACCCATATGGTGGGTCAAGTACAAATTTGGTATACTTAAAAACTAAGCCAACACGCAAAAATACTATTTGTTTAGCAAATATTAAATGCCCACTTTGGCAAGTACTCTGCCAGGCACTTGGTAAACAGTGGTGAAAACAGACATGGTCCTTTTACTTTCCACTTCTGCCGATTACGGGCCCAGTAGTTAAAGGTTTAAATGGTTTATTAAGGGGTGAAAGGGGTGCCTGGGTGGCTCAGTCGGTAAGCATCTATCTGCCTTCGGCTCAGGCCATGATCCCAGGGTCTTGGGATTGAGCCCCATGTCATGCTCCCTGCTTTGCCTCTTCTTTTGCCATGCTCTCTCTCTCAAAAATCTTAAAAAAAAAAAAAAAAAAAGAAAAGGTGAAAGATGGTTTTATGGTGAACCCAAAATAGTTCTTTTGGGTGTGTTTCCTGATGTTAAAAACTCCAGTCTAGGATATGAAACCCTTATAAGGGGCACCTGGGTGGCTCAGTCGTCAAGCGTCTGCCTTTGGCTCAGGTCAAGATCCCAGGGTCTTGGGGTGGAGCCCCACATCAGGCTCCCTGCTCAGCGGGAAGCCTGCTTCTCCCTCTCCCACTCCCCCCGCTTGTGTTCCCTCTCTAGCTGTGTCTCTGTCAAATAAATAAATAAAATCTTTAAAATAAAAAAAATAAAACCCTTCTAAGTATCTTGCTTTTAATTCATGCTGAAGTGTGGGGTAGTAGTAGATCAGAAACCAGACTAGGGGGCGCCTGGGTGGCTCAGTTGGTTAAGCGACTGCCTTCGGCTCAGGTCATGATCCCGGAGTCCTGGGATCGAGTCCCGCATTGGGCTCCCTGCTCGGCAGGGAGTCTGCTTCTCCCTCTGACCCTCCTCCCTCTCATGCTGTCTCTCATTCTGTCTCAAATAAATAAATAAAATCTTTAAAAAAAAAACAGACTAGGGCTATGCTGCTAATGTGAACTCTTCTTTCAAAGAAAAAGGATTATGTCCTTTTATTCTAAATGTAAGATATCTAAAATTAAGGTATTGAGTAGTACTAATATATTACTAACATGACACTGAAAATCTAAGCTGAGTAGAGCCTGAAACTCCCAGATAAACTCTGAATATTGTAAAGAATTCCACATGTACCTCAACTAGTATTTGTCCCAGGGAGGCACCATTTTTTACAAGGACTTCATTTCATTTTCCAGTCAGAAAGGACTTTATGCAACTAGAAAAACAGCTAAATATGAATACAGATCCAAGAGAGAATAGAATTCTCGAAGTTTTTTTTTTTTCTTAAAGACTTTGAGAGAATCTGCAATTCCTTTGATCAATCCTAATCTTCTATTTTAGTTTTATATATTTTAATAACATGCATATTTTAATTTTTAAGGAAGATGGTAAACTTTCCAGTTGGTCTGGTGAGATTTCTTGTCAGGGGGCAAACACTACTCACAAAATGGAATGCTTCATTTTATTAAGGGTGAGGTAAAGCCAACTTGAGAAACTATAAAGAGCAAAGCTGCACAGGCAATGTAGTATGGCCCAAAATGTTTTGATTATGTTCTCTTCCTTTCCATTAGGCCAGGGTAGCTTTCTACCTGCTACAACGGAAAACAGGAACTGCTATGAAGCCTGAAAATAGATACTCAAAACCCAAATCCTAGGGCATTTTAGTAGGCTTAGGATCTTGAAAGCATTTTAAGTAGTAATTGCCCGGCTCTTCAAAAAGAGCTCCAAAGCTCTGCTTAAGAACTTCAATTCCATTCACACCTTTTGCTAACAAAGGTGAAGAGCTTTAGATCAGTTTAAACTGCAAACTGCAATTTTATTAACACTGTTTTTCTCTCAAACCATGTTCTTCATGCTGACATTCCCAGTGTTGGGAGGCACAAATACCATTAACCATCTTCATTCTTTGCATCACCAAGGAGTTCTTTCCCTATCTTGTTCTGAAGGATGAAAAGCTTGAGGTGTACGTTTCAGAAGATAAACTGCTGCATGAAGACCCCCTATGTTCACCCAGACAGTATGTACCTTCCGCCAAACACGTCCCATTCCAGATAATGCCTGTGTATACACAAAAAGGACAGAAGTAATTAGCAGACAATCTGTAGACCAACCAGCAGTGTAGTTGGTAGTAATAAACCATGGGGGAAGAGAAAACAAATCCTACTCAAACTAATTTCCCTAAGTTTAAATAAAAGATCCTAACGTTGCCACAGGGTGAATTTTGGGGCTAATTTACAGCACCTTGGTAAAGCATTTCTTGTCCTGAGTAAGTAGTGCAGCTCGGCCTGTCCCTGGTCTACAGACACGGCTCATCTCCTGTAGGCAAGCTGGATAAAGGTTCCAGTTTCTCTTTTTGGAGCCCATCCTATAAAAGAAGGTCCAGTGAGTCAAACACTTAGTAGATAAACATCTAGAACTATATGAAAGGAGAAATTAAAAACTCATTAAAATAAGAAAATGCTAAAACCTAAAAAAATAGTTGCCCTTTAGAAGCCAGGGCTTTGCCATTATATGCCAATAAAATGAGTAATCTGACTTACTAGTAAATGGCTTAGAAATATGAAACAGATGAGCAGGGCACCTGCGTGGCTCAGTTGGTTAAGAAATATGAAACAAATAAATACAGTTTTTTGGCTACAAAACAGTTTTTTGACAACTATCATAGTTATGTAAGTTGTCCTCTTAATGACTGCAATAAACAGATTACATAAACCAAACCATTGATGAGAAAACATTTATTCTGAGAATTAGAACCAAGTTTTCCTCAGCCTTTGTGAAGTATCCTGTAATTCAGCAATGGGCCAGGAAGTGGATTAACCTGTGATGGTCAGGACCAAAATGTAGTTAATTCATGAGTTCTCAGAAGAAACAAAATGGGTGAATCCATCATCTAATTCTTAAGTGAAAAAGTGCTCTAAGTTTACTAAAAGGAATTGAAGATGTCTGATAGAATGACCTCTTAGAAGTAAGTTTAACAAGTGAAGGTAAAACTCATTTTTTAAAAGCCAAGTCCCACCTTTTTCCAAATGGCATGTCTGTTACAATAATGTCCACAGAGCCAGTTCTCAATGGCAGATTGCAGATATCCCACTGAACAGCATCTATGGGCAAGCCCCAGGACACTTTGCTATGGGGACAAAGGAAATGTGCTTATTCTGAAGTATGAAATCTAAAAACATTTCTGAAGAGACTGCTATAAAATACAAAATGCTACTAAAATGACAATATCAGTGACATTAACAATAAGCAAAATTTTAAACCAAAATGTAGAAGAAATCCTAAGTTAATATGATAAAACTTTTCTAATGACAAAATCTGTAATGACAATTTAAAAAATGGTTAAGGTTGGTTTCAAAATATGTCTGGTTTCATCTACAATTTAAGAAAATCGATTAAGGGGTAAACAAGATTGCAACACAACTACAAAAGATGACTGACAACAGTAATGAAACAGTAAATTATATAACAGAATGTAAAACATCAATGAACACAGGAAAGAAAGATTATGAGGTGACACATCTAAAGTTTGGTAGATCTTTCAATAACAGGAAACCTAAAGAAACAGATACGTAAAATTAGTAAAACAGAGATACTTGTTTTAAAATTGAACATGTATCACACAATGAAAAAGTAAGACAAAGAAAAAGGTTGAAAAAACATAACAAAAGAATATAAATGATACAAATCCTCCTCATTAAGGCAAAGCTGCTGATATAACAAAATACAACAGGCAATAAGGCACAGGCTAAGAATTAAAGGCAAATAAAAGATTGTGAGCAGAAATGAATGGTTATTCTATTGAGAGTTAATGAAGAATTTAAGAGAAAATGTGCAATAAAGGCAGTCACTCCATAACGGGGGGAAAAAAGCACAGATTATCGAAAATAGCCATATCAATCACAATCACAGGTACCAATAACTGCAACAAAACAAGTGAACAAAAAATAGTAAAATCAAGACAGATTGATAGAAATAGTACAGGTAGAACAGACAAAAAAGGTACAGAGCGTCTGAAAAGCAAGATAAAATAGACAGAAAATAGAAATAATTTGTTTGAAAATGTTTTATCAGGTTTCAAAAAAACTGGTGATGTACTAAGCCCCAAGAAAATTTCAATAAATACGCAACAAAATGTACCATAAAAATTAATCAATAAAATAAGTTAAAACCTTTCAACTACTTAGGTACAAAAACTGATCTAAACCCTTGCTATTCAAAGTTGGGCCACAGCCCCAGCAGCATCAATATCACCCATAAACTTGCTAGGAAACGCAAAACTCCCAGGTCCCATCTGAAACCTACTGAATCTAGTTAACAGGATCCCCAGGTGACTCATATGCACATTAAATTTTGAAAAGCACTGCCCCAAACAATTAGATCAGTGAGACAAGTACACAACCAATGATTTAAAAAGAAACCAAAATAGAGAAAATTTATCATTAAAAAAAAACCACACAGCATGTAACTTAAAGTTAAATAACAAATTTAAAAAACCTCAACAGGAAACAGAAATAAAGAAACAGGCAGTGAGCATAAAAACATAGAACAAACAGTATATGAAAGAACTGAACAAAGCACTGGTGATTCTCATCAATAAAGGGGAAAAAAATTAGCAAAGAAGAGAATAACCAACATACAGACCTAAAACAGTATGAGGCATTCCATGTATAACTAACAAATAGGAATATGTGCATCAAATAGATACATATTTTTTAAAACCACTGATTTCTATTTACAAATACAAACCTCACATTAAGGGTTATGGAGGCAGCTGTTTCTAGGTTTGGTAAGGCCAATTATGGGATAGAACCACTTCCCTGGGCTATGTATTCAGGATATGGAGCATCTGTACTTCCAACAAATATGCTGACCACTATCTACTCCTGCCATTTTCTGAGAAAATAAAGGGCATCAGCAGAGGAGAACACAAACAATTTTATGAGGCCTCTGGTGAGAAATGGAAGACCAGGTGACATTTCAACCAATTCTTCCAAAGACAAATGAAACTGAAAGAACGGTGAAAGGCCGGCACAAGTGGCATCACTGAATGTAACCTGGAGTAGTGGGCCAGGGCTTAAGATACTGTAACAACAGATAGATTAAAAAAAACAGAATTTCCCAGACACCAATGGACTTCCAGTGCCTAGAAAGGATACGCTGAAGGACCTTAGAATATTTTGCTTGCAGGAGAGAGGATTTTGGAGGAGTGGGATAGGAGGAGGGGGACTCTGGGGAGCCCTTCAAATGTCTGATGTCAAGCATCGTGTGACACAGAGCTAAGATTTTTCTTTATGGATCCAATGGGTCTAAAACAAATACATAGGAGGTACAGAGAGGAATTCAGTTCACTAAAAGACATGACTAGAACTCCAAGCCGTGCAAAGACGGAATTGAGAGCCTTCAGAGACAAAGTCATTAGAGATGGTGACAGACTGAAAGGCCACTGGTCAGGATCTCCTATAGGTAATATGAAAATGGCTTTCAGCTTTCTTCCAACTCTGACACTGCTTTAAAATGCCAAATAATAGAGGAAAGGCTACATAAACTGTAGAATTTCTATACAAATATGCAGTCATTTAAAAAAGACTATATAAAAATATTCAAAGTGTTTGAAAATTTGTAAAATTAAAATGAATCAACGCATTATTTTTCCACTATGTAGTAAAAAAGATATACAAATAAGAAAAAGGAAGACAGAAATAAACATAGTTGCACGGGGTGGGGAAATTACAGTAAAATATTTTTGTAAGTTATTTTCAATAAACGGTTTTAAAATTTAATGGCGTCTCACAGTATGTTCATTTTAGTTACAATGATGTCACCATGCACTGGGGGTATTAATTCATGAAGTCAATATGAAAAGTGATTATCTAAGTCTAAGAAATGCTACAAAATCTTTTAAATTTTTACCCTTCTTGGGCACCTGGGTGGCTCAGTTGGTTAAGCGACTGCCTTCGGCTCAGGTCATGATCCTGGAGTCCCAGGATCAAGTCCCGCATCGGGCTCCCTGCTCAGCAGGGAGTCTGCTTCTCCCTCTCCCGTTCCCCCCTCTTGTGCTCTTTCTCTCTCTCACTCTCTCTCTCAAATAAATAAATAAAATCTTAAAAAAAAAAAAACAAATAAATTTTTACCCTTCTTTAATTTGGCTCTTGGTCAATAAAGATGAGATGTTATTTGCTGCTCTATTCACAGCCAACGGATTATTATCACCAGCAATATGATAACAGTTAGACCATTCAGTAGCCCCCTAAAAGACAATAGTATATATTAAAACCAAAGTATCAAACTACAAAAAACGAAAACAAAAAAACCCCCCCAAACCCAGAAATGATTGAAGGGAAAATCATTTCAATTGACTGTCAATAAACTAGACAATCCAATCCAATAATCCAATGGTTTTCTAAAGTGGTAGAACACTGCATGTTGTGAACTTTGCTATTCCCCTTGCTTGAAAAGCCCTCCTGTTCTTTCTCACTTGCTGAACTCCTATGCATCTTTCAAGACCTAGCTCAAATGTCACACTCTTTCACATCAACCCCAACTCTCTTAGCTGTCTCTCATTTGCCTCCCCAACCCAAAGCACTTTGTTACATACTCTGTCACTGCACTTGTTTTTAATTATTTCTATACCTGTCTGCCTTTCAAGAAATCTCCCTAAGGACAAGTCTCATATTTTATGCAATCCCTCAGACAGCAGTGTTTGGCACATAGTAAGCATTACAGACCTGAAATACAACCATGGTTTGAAAAACTTAACCAAATTAAAGTGACCAACCTATACCCTTTTGTGATTACAGGATTTTATATAATCTGATATATTGGGGTATTTGAAAATTTCAAAATAAAATATATTATCCACTGCATAGGCCTTTAATGATAACCACATGCCTGAAAAGATTCTGTAATGTTAACTCAGAAACATGTCAACAGAACATAAATACCAATGTTACATATCATTTGTGGAATGGAGGTGACACCCTACCCTAGGCTGAACAATGTTCCATGTAGATTCACAGGTTTCTGATATGAAAGCAGAGGAAGTTCTGCCCTCTGTTTAGGGATGAGGAACAAATACCTCTTCTTCCTTTGTAAACAGTAATACACCCATATCCATGAACACAAGGCTTCATCGCCTTTTCTTTTTCCCACACACTTGAGGGTAATGTAGAAGAGACCTACAGAATTTGATGAAAGCCTCTCAAGTGATTCTGATTCCCCAACACTCATTTTTTTGTCTCAATCTGTTTAGACTTTCGGCCTCTGAAAAAGATGGATTTTGTAGTACTTCCAAATTTTAAAAGGAGAACTCTAGATCACTATTTTATACTTGGGTGAACAATTCTGTATACATATTGTCTATCATTTCATAACTTCGTTCATTCTGATCATGTATCAGTATAGATTTTTCTATATTAACATTCTCATGTCTACTCTTACATGGAAATGCCTCAACCTTTTTCTGTATCTTTTTGGAGGCTGGGCTCTTCTGGACTCTGTAGCTCTGTTGTATATTTCTTGATATGTAGTAACTTTCCCTTCTATTTCAGACATAGGTACATCAAGGTTTAATGCTAGAGAGGAACACTTTGCTTTGTTCCTGGAATTCTTGACAACAACTGAGTTTTCTCTGTGGGCAGCTCTTTAGTGACAGTAAATTTCTCTAGCTCACACTACCAGAAAACAGTAGTCATCTAGACTACCAAGATTTCCTTCTGGGATTTTAGCTCCCAAATGACACATGTCATTTTCTAATTGCAATTTGAATATTATTTTTCCCTTTGTGGGTTGCTTTGGACTTGTTCACCTGTCCAGTTTCTGCCCACTCATAGAATCTGTGTATTTCCTTGCAGTTTATTCCCACTGGCTTTAGATACTCTATGTAAGAAATTACTATGTCTCATAAATTTAAGCAATTTTTAAAAATAAATTTAAGCAATTTTAAAGAGGAGCACCCTCTTCCAAATTATTTGTAAAAGTTTAGATAATACTGATTCAAGGAGACTCTCCTGTTAAATGTTCTCTACTTAGAAAATGCCTTTCCATTTCCTGTTTTGCTTTAAGTAGTTTTTGAGTCCTCTTAGTATCACAGTAATTTTGAAAACCATTTAAGAGCGTTTGTGTGTAACCATATTAGACTTCCTGAAAAATCTAAATAACATTATCATAGGTTTCTCCATTTTATAACTATATTTACTCCCTCCAAGAGCCTATGTGGATTAAGAAGCATAATCTCACTTTATAGAGATGGAACACCTTCCTCCAGTTTATGCTTGTGCCTTCGAGTCTACCAGCTTGTCTTTTATAAAAAAGGGACTCACCAGTTTGTAACTTTCAGCCTCCTCTGTAATCCACTGAGTAACCATCACTTATAATCTACCAGTCCTTAGCTAGTTGTAATAAGTGGTTATATCCTTCACACAAAAATCCCAGCTTTACTAGTGCAATTTCTTTTTTAATTTTTTTTTAAACTAGTGCAATTCTTTTAAAACTCTTGGGGGTCCACTGACCCAACCCTGATGATTTCATTATGTGTAATTTGCCCATTAGGTCTAGAATATTCTAGATGTATCACTTGCTTATCCAAAAGATAAAGAAACATCATTACCTCAATTGGTATTGCTCCTGTTCCACACATCGGATCAACTATTATATCAGTAGGTTGAGGAGCACAGAGCCTATAGAAAAGAAAACAGCCTATATGAAAAGACTTCAATCAATAGCTGGGGCTTTCACACTGACTATTCCTGAAGCTATAAGATCAAGGACCTATTATGCTAGCATAAAGAAACACCAATCGATATTCATTTTAAAGATCAATTTGTAATTAAGAGATTGACTCTATATCCTAGAGCTTAAAAAAAAATTACGTATAGCTAAAAGTACCCTCTGACTCATCCAAAATCACATTTCACTGACAGATGGAATTTAGCTTCCAGATCTTTTATTTTTTTGGGGGGGGAGTGAAACCCGGGAGCTTCCAGATCTTTTAATATATACGTGTGTATCTATCTATCCATCCATGTCTTTAGAGAATACAGTTTTATTTTGTACATAAACCTGTACTGTTCCATAAGAAAAAAAAAATCTCAACTGTGTTTCAAATAAAACATGTATTGATAAGTATTGATAATAAGTTTATTGGCAATTAGACATTTAGTATTCCTTTCTTTATGAATTTAATTTTAAAGGTAAGAACCTTGCCAAAAATAACTGCTTTACTTTGAGCACTCTGTATTTGCCAAGCCATGGATTTAAGCTCTTTGCATTCATTATCTCATTTAATCTTTTTAACAACCCTTCAGTTTTTCTGTGGATTCCCCAAGATTTCTCAGTATCTTTCCTATAAATACCCCTTCCTATGCAATCATCAGTTTTTTTTTTTATCTTGAACTAGCTTACTTAGGTTTCTAATAGTTGCACCCAAAAGAAGTCTCCATGTTCCTGGATCCTACCATAATGCCTGGCAATACATTATAAATGTTTGTTAAATGAAGGAAGGAAGACTAGGAGCTGTTCCTTTATCAAATGGGCCCAGTATTCTATTACTGTCATTATACTAATAGGTTCCAATTGTGCTGAACTGTGACTCCATGGATGAGCAGAGTGAAAGAGGAAGCAAAGACTGGAAGAGAAGGAACTATAATAATTAATAAACAATTAATCAATACCAGGATATACGAGACACTATGTAACAGGTATTAAGCATATATTTCTACATCTACTCCTCACTAACAATCCTTTAAGTCTCACATCAAACCCATTTTGCAGTCTGGAGAACAGAAACCTAGAGAAGACAACCTGTCCTAGAGGTGGAAAGAAGCACCCAATAAAAGGGCAAAGGACAAACGAGAAAGCAAGCTAGGTCTTGCACTTGAAAAAGTGGAAAATCCTGGATGATTCCTGAGATGCTGTGAGTATAAATTTTAAAAATATTAGTAAAAGCTCCCCATGTTAATTTACACATTATACACTTTTTTTGCCCCCGCCCCCTACCCCCACCCCATATCATACACATTTAAAAAATCTCTGCTTTCAGGGCGCCTGGCTGGCTCAGCCGATAGAGCATATGACTCTTGATTTCCGGGTTGTGAGTTAGAGCCCCACAATGGGCTTAGAGATTACTTAAAATAAATAAATAAAAATATAAAAACCTCTGCTTTCATCTGCTTCATGGCACAGAAATTAAACACAGTAAAATTTGCTGTATTTCCCAACATACAGTATATCCTTTGTAAACAGAAATGTTCAGAGGCAGATGAAAACTACTGTTCTCATTTTAAAATCAAGAAAACGGAGATGGTAGTTAAGTGATATTTTCAGGATTACAAGGAATCAACATTGGATACAAGAGAAAGAAACAGATCATTTGCTTTTTATCCTGTTGTTTATCCACTAAATTCCAACACAGTACTTCACACAATATTCAGGTGTTTTAAAGGGAAAACTCAAATCAAGGTGTCACTTTTTAAAAAAAGATTTATTTTTTGAAAGATTTTATATATTTATTTGAGAGAGAGAGGGTAAGAGAGAACAAGCAGGGGGAAGGGGAGAGGGAGAGGGAGAAGCAGACTCCCTACTGAGTGGGGAGCCTGACGAAGAGCTTGATCCCCTGACCTGAGATCATGACCTGAGCTGAAGTCAGACACAACCAACTGAGCCACCCAGGTGCCCCATGATTTATTTATTTTAGAGACAGAAAAAGAGAGAGAGAGAGAGCAGGAGGGGCAGAGAGAGAAAGAACGCAGGGGTTGGGGGGGGAGGGAAGGAGGGAGAGAGAGAGAATCCTCAAGCAGATTTTCCGCTGAGCACAAAGCTCAACATGGGGCTCGATCCCAGGACCCTGAGATCATGACCTGAGCTGAATCAAGAGTCAGACACTTAACCAACTGAGCCACCCAGGCGCCCCCCAAGGTGTCACTTTAATCTAGACAGCAAACCCATTCTCTTACCTAAGCATCCCATAGGCAAGAGTAGATCTAAGTGTTGTAGGTCCAAAATGTGTGATATTTCTTCGGTGGAGACTCTCTTCTGTCAATGCAATGCCCACAACAATTTCATTATCATGGATGTTCAAAAGAACCTGTAAAAGAAAAACAAAAGAGAATAAAATAGGGGCACTTGGCTGGCTCAGTCAATAGAGCATGTGACTCTCAATCTTGGGGTTGTGAGTTTAAGCCCCACATTGGGCGTAGAGATTGCTTAAAAAGAAAATTAAAAAAAAAAAAAAGAATAAAAGCTTTATTTTGCTCACACTGCACTAAGATTTTTTATTAATTAATTTTTTTTACTTTATTATTGAGCTATACTTTGCATAAAGTGGACAAATCCCAAATATACAGTGCAGGGAATTTTTACCTATATACACTGTGTAACTGCCACCAAGATAAAGATATACAATATTTCTAGCACATGCCAGAAGGCTCCCCTTGTCCTCTGACAGTTGGTACCCACCAAAAGTAATCATTAATCTGACTACCACCACCACAAATTAGTTTTTTTTTTTGAACTTCATATAAATGAAATCATCTAGTATGTACTCTTAAATTTCAAAACCTGTTTTACTCTTTTCATTCACTGTAAGTTACTATAAGCAGATACTCCATGAATTTTTACAGTATCAACATATTTTGTAGATTTATGGGTTATACATATTTTTTAAAATTTTAACTTTTTGAGAAATTTGAGAGAGAATGAGGGAGAGAGCGAGCACGAAAGGGGGAGGGGCAGAGGACGAAGCCGACCCCCCCTCCCCCCCTCCCCACCCCCAGCAGGAAGCCTGATGCGGGATTCCATCCGGGACTCCAGGATCATGACCTGGGCCGAAGGCAGTCGCTTAACCAATTGAGCCACCCGGGTGCCCCAGGAGGCTGGGGTTTATTTTAAATATGTACTCCACTTTTTTTAAGTAGTAAAACTCTACAACCAAGACACAAAAAAACCAAAATAACTGCTTTAATTGATTGAATTTTATAATCTGAAAGTCCACATAATGTAAAAAGTACTAGATTAAAAAACTCAAGTCTTTTTGTTTTTTTAAGATTTTATTTGCCAGGGCGCCTGGGTGGCTCAGTTGGTTAAGCGACTGCCTTCGGCTCAGGTCATGATCCTGGAGTCCCAGGATCGAGTCCCGCATCGGGCTCCCTGCTCGGCAGGGAGCCTGCTTCTCCCTCTGACCTTCCCCCCTCTCATGTGCTCTCTGTCTCTCTCATTCTCTCTCTCAAATAAATAAATGAAAAAAAAAAAAAATCTTAAAAAAAAAAAAAAAAAAGATTTTATTTGCCAGAGAGAGAGAGCATAAGCAGAGGGAGTGGCAGGCAGAGGCAGATGGAGAAGGAGACTCCCCAATGAGCAGGGAGCCCGATGTGGGGCTCGATCCCAGGACCCTGGGATCATGACCTGAGCCGAAAGCAAGCCACTTAACCAACTGAGCCACCCAGGCGCCCCAAAAAACTCAAGTCTTTTTTTTTTTTTTTTTTTTTTTAAGATTTTATTTATTTATTTACTTGAGAGAGAGAGAGAGAGAGAAACAGCATGAGAGCGGAGAGGGTCAGAGGGAGAAACAGGCTCCCTGCTGAGCCGGGAGCCCGATGTGGGACTCGATCCCAGGACTCCGGGATCATGACCTGAGCTGAAGGCAGTCGCTTAACCAACTGAGCCACCCAGGTGCCCAAAACTCAAGTCTTAATAGCTCCCATCTACTGAGCACTTAGTATACAGCAGGTATCAAACCAAATACCAAAATGTATTATCTCATTTAACTTTCAGGACACACTTAAAAGTATATGCTACTGATGGCTCCACTTGAAAACAGAGGCTCCGAGACAGTATCTTGTCCAAAGTTATGCAGTTGTAGAGTCAAAATCTGAATCTAGATTTGTCTCGTAGCGCATGCTCCTGTTAACCACACCCTATTAGCTCTGTGGCCACAATGTAGCCGCCCATAAAATTGGTTAGTCTAAAAATGCTACCTATCTGTGATAGCCTTCTTGAATCATCATAATCAGAGCCTGTACATACCTCCACATCAAAGTTGGTCATGTCAGCCTTCCACTTAAAGTGATCTTGAACAGCACCCCCAAAATCTCTTGCAGCCTCATTTGAGGAAAAGCAATGTTTCTCTCCTGCCCGGTTGCATGTGACTCTAAACTTCAGCACTTCAGGATGAGTTTCTTCTTTTGAACTTTCATCCTTCTCGTCTTTGCAAGATGCCAAATCATCACCTACTAATGTTGATATCTCTTCTCTGATGGCTGGATTTTCATAATAGTCTAAGATATGGGAATCTAAGGTATTGTTAGTGAATCCTTTTTTATCATCTTTCTCATCTGTCTTGTCTCCTTGTCCGTTATCAATCTTCTCTTTACCTGAACTCTGATTCATCTTTTTGCGCTTTGTTTTTTTTTTCTTGAAACTGGTGTTAATTTTCCATACTTTTAAAGGGTCTGACCATGGAAGCTTCCCAGCCAGTTCTTCAAAATCCTTTAGAACTTCTTCCTATAAAGGACAGAGAATGAAATCCATGCATCTCTCACCACTTTTATTGAACAAATCCCTACACTTTGCCTATAGACTACACTAATCATTACACTGGGGGTGGTAGGAGTGCAAAACAGAAGAGGAAATAAAATAATGTCTACGATTAAAGAAATTAAAATTTCATTGAAAATTAAGATAAATACAAATTAAGCAACTTAAAAATAATACTAGACTGGTAGACCAGAAGTTGGGCTTTAAGATTAAAATGTAAGCAATCAGAAACTATTAAAAATGGTTGCCTCTAGGGAGGGTAAGTGGGTGGATGAAAAACGGGAGGGAGGGCAATTTACCTCTCACTGACTGACTTCCTTCTGAATTTTGTGCTATGTATATATACTACTTTTAAAAGCAATTTTTAAAGAAGTATTATTATTTATTTACTTATTTTTTAAGTAATCTCTATATCCAACGTGGGGCTCAAACTCACGATCCCAAGATCAAGAGTTGCATACTCCACTGACTGAGCCAGCCAGGTGCCCTTAAAAATTAGAATTTTTTAAAAGGAAAAAGAAACCAGAAGCAGTGAAAAATGTATCTCTCCAATTTCTAATAGCACCCAGAATCTTTTTATTTATTTATTTTTAAAGATTTTATTTATTTATTTGAGAGAGTGAGTGAGAGAGAGAGCGCAAGAGGGCGTAGGGTTAGAGGGAGAAGCAGACTCCCCGCCGAGCAGGGAGCCCGACGTGGGACTCGATCCCAGGACTCCGGGATCATGACCTGAGCCGAAGGCAGTCGCTTAACCAACTGAGCCACCCAGGCACCCGCACCCAGAATCTTTTTAAAATGAAGCTTCCAAGAATGAAGCAAACTGAATTGAGTCAACCTCTGAAGAAGATAAAATTTGAAGAAGTTACTGGGGGCTGCTATTTTATATTACGACTGCTTTTTAAAATTTTGTTCATGGATCTGATAAAATCTAGATCTCTAATATTTTTAAGTCCAAGCCCTTGAACACTGCAGCTCTTTACAGTTTTTGCTTATACACAATTCACTCTTTGCAGCTAATTAAGCTGAAGAAACCTGGGAATAAAGTTTGAAACAAGGTTAATAAAGTTCTTTGCCTAGGATACTGTTTTATTTTTTATTTCATTGACACTGATTTGTAGACAGAAAGCAAAATTGTTTATAGAAAGCTAAATCATGGCATGTAATATGGCTGGTAATTGATGAAATTTGATTAAAGATTTTAAACGGCCGTATAATAAAAAAAAAAAAGTAAATCTGATCATGCCCCTCCCTTGCGTAAAGCCCCTCAGTAGCTTCCCACTGCACATATAATATCTAAATTCCTCAAAGAGCCCAACATAATCTGACCTCTGCCTCTTTCTCTTACATCACTTCAGAACTGTTCTCTCCCCCACTCCCTTTTTACCTCTACTTTGAAGATACTTGCTTCATGTGGTCTCTGCACTGCTGGCTCCCTTCTCATTATTAATAGTAATTTAAAAGGCATATCCTCTGAGAGACGTGCTCTTCATAAAGCTGTCCTTTCAAGTCATTCTCTTCCCATTTTATTTTACAGAGCTCAGCATTATTTGAAAGTTACTAGGTTTATGTTTTGTTCACCATCAAGGCTTCTCCCAGAAATCGGGTGGAAAGGACCTGACCTGTCTTGACCACTGCTGTAAGCCACATGTCTAGAACAGTCCATGGCATACAAATAGTGCTCAATAAATGGCTACTGGATAATGTGATTAATGTTAAAATGGGTGGTGCAGGGCCGTGCTGTCCAATTCAGCAGCCATTAGCCACATGTAGCTATTGAAAGTAAAATGAGGGGCACCTGGGTGGCTCAGTTGTTAAGTGGTCCACCTTCAGCCCAGGTTGTGATCCTGGGGGCCTGGGTTTGAGCCCTGGGTGGGGTTCCTGGCTCAGCAGGAAGCCTGCTTCTCCCTCTGTCCCTCCCGTTCGTGTACTCTCTCTCTTTCGAATAAATAAATCTTTAAAAATAAAAGAATACAAGAAAGAAAGTAAAATGATTTAAAATGAAAAGCTCAGGAGCACCTGGCTGGTTCAGTTGGTAGGACATGTGACTATTTTTTTTTAAATGTTTTATTTATTTACATGTGACTCTTGATCTCAGGGTCATTAAGTTCAAGCTGCACACTGAGCGTAGAGCTTATTTAAAAATATATATATATTAAAAAAACAACAACAACAAACCTCAGTTTCTCAATCACATGAGCCACATTTCACACGCTAATGGCTAGTGGTTACTGTGTTGGACAGTGTAGACCCAAAACGTTCCAGTGAGAAGGTTCTATTGCAGAGTGCTGGTATAGACAGTATATGCTACTGACGATCAAATTAGAAAGAGATCAGTGTTCACTGATGGAACTGAGACTTGAAATGGGGAGGAGGGAGGGTTTTGATACTAATTGAAACCTGATGAATAATGGTAAATTTTGGTTCGGCAAATTCAATTCTATTTACAAATTATTTCCCTTTTATAAAGGGCATCTATAGGACTTGGAGGTTTAATGTGATGGAGAACACCGGCACAGCCCCTTTCTTTCTCCAGACACCATTCTAAACACCACCACCAACGGAAATAATGACTTTATCTTAATAGAATCTACATACCTGTAACCTTGAACCATAACATTACAATTCTAACATAAGAATTCCCAAGTGTAGTGAAGGTCAAACAGAGGTGCAGGAAGACACCAGAGGAAGAATGCCTATAGATTCAGACAAAGGTTAGAGCAGTCTGCGAAGTTATAGCAAATAAACTGTTCTTTGGAATAGCAGAGAAGTATGTATACTGACAGAAGGAGCTTCCCTGGACTTCATTTATACCAAGAACAAGCAAGGGAGAGAAATGGAGGCTAAACAAGGAATCTTAGAGACATGCTCTATTTGCTATGTTGATAAGGTAGAGCTTGGAAAGAGATGTTTTACAGTGTAAATAACCCTGAAGCTGCTGATCTCTTCAGGATAGAGAGAAGTACTGGTTAAAAGAACTTATGCAATAGTATGGAAATTATACCTCAATAAAGCTGTTAAAAAAAAAAAAGGAAGGGGGCGCCTGGGTGGCTCAGTCGTTAAGCGTCTGCCTTCGGCTCAGGTCATGATCCCAGGGTCCTGAGATCGAGCCCCGCATTGGGCTCTCTGATCAGCAGGAGGCCTGCTTCTCCCTCTCCCACTCCCCCTGCTTGTGTTCCTTCTCTCACTGTTGTCTCTGTCAAATAAATAAATAAAATCTTTAAAAAAAAAAAAAAAGTAAGAGAGACCTCATTCACCTACAACCCTTTGTCAGAAGGAACTTACAAGACCAGTGCTCTAACCCCTGAGCTATAGGGCCTCGCGTGTCAGAAGGAACTTAAACAGCAAGCAGGGGAATTTCTTGATGTCCTGGAACAGTTCCTGGTTCCTCCCACAAGAGCCTCCTATCAGCAGCAGGTCCAGGAGGAACTTCCTCATTCACAGATGAGCAATCATCAAAAGTTATCAGCACGAGATTTATATGAACATAAGAAAAGGACAAAGGAGGAAAGGAACAGAAAAACAAAGAGCAGACAGAAAACAGTGACCAGAAAGACAGTGCCACAGTGAAAACTGTGATCAAGCATATTATGATAAAAAAAAAAATGGAATGAGGAAATACCTTGGTTAAATAAGAGCTCCAAGCGGAGATATAAAAGCAGAAAGATGAGGTGAGCCACCATAAAAAGATTAAACAGGAGCTTGTAGAGTTCAAAGAATCAAGTGGAATGAAAAAATAAAACCATTGCAAAATGAAGACCATATTGAAAGCACCACATACAAAAGACACTGCTGAAAACACAGTAAGGGATGTGGAGAAAGGTAAAGCAAATACAACGCAAGTGGGCAAAATTAAAAAAAAGATTAAAGAAAATCTTAAAACATGAAAGAAAGTCAAGAGATCCTACATATGTATAATGGTTTATCTGTGAAGAAAGGATTTGAGATAATGAAAGAAAAAATTAGGGGCAACTGGCTTAGTTGGTAGAGCATGTGACTCTTGATCTCAAGGTTGTGAGTTTGAGCCCCACACTGGGTGTAAAGTTTACTTAATAAAAAAAATAATAATAATTCAAGAAAAATTTCAAAAAATGTATGTGGATATAAACTTCTTTACAGACTGACATGTCTTGACAAGGCATTACTGACAATGAGACACATCCTGGTGAACTTGTAAGACTTCAGAGATTACAAATAAAATCTGGGCATGAAGCAAAAATATCAAGAAAGCAACAAATAAAGGAGAAAAAAACAAGATGCCTTCAGAATTTTCCATGGCAACATTTAATGCTAGAAGAAAAAGAATACTGCCTACAATATTTTTCAGGAAGAAATGTGTGACTCCAAATTTTATACCTAAACTCTTCATCAAATGTAAAGGTGAAAAACAATAATTTCTGAACTCATGCCATTCAAGAGATAAAAAGAAAACAGGGATTATGATTACAAGCAGAATCTGTCATTTGTAAATATCACAAATTGGAATGTAGTTAAAGGAGGAAGGAAACAGATGCTCACATCTTCCTCTGTGAAGAGATAAAAGGATAGACATTAAAGCTGATTAGTAAATGTATTTAAAAGCACTGGGGTTGGGGTGCCTCAGTGGCTCATTTGGTTAAGCTTCCAACTCTTGATCTCAGCTCAGGTCTTGATCTCAGGGTCATGAGTTCAAGCCCCACTTTGGGCTGCATGTTGGGTGTGGAGCCTACTTAAAAAAAAAAATTAATAATAAATAAATAAATAAAAGCACGGGGGTCAACACTAAGAAAATAATAAAATTGGAGGGTGAAAAAGGAGGAGGGGAGATGTGGAAAATATGCTAACTTCATCACTGCTCTTAGCAGGGATTCAAAAACTACTACATAAAATAGTAGTTTAAAAGTTATAGTTATGGGGAGCCTGGGTGGCTCAGTTGTTAAGCGTCTGCCTTCGGCTCAGGTCATGATCCCAGAGTTCTGGGATCGAGCCCCACATCGGGCTCCCTGCTCTGTGGGAGGCCTGCTTCTCCCTCTCCCATTCTCCCTGCTTGTGTTCCCTCTCTCGCTGTGTCTCTGTCAAATAAATAAATAAAATCTTAAAAAAAAAAAAAAAGTTGTAGTTACAATAACAGCTAGAAGAAGCCTTACAGCCGGGGTTTCAGCACCAAACTAAACAACACAAAATAAAAACAAAACTTTTCATACTAGTATAAAACAATGTGGAAAAATGTGAAGAAAACACATAAACTTTAAATAAGAAAAAGCTGAATGTGTGTAACATAACTGTGACAGACCAAGACCAAACATTTCTGACCTAGCAATAAGTACTGGTAAAATAAACTATTTTATTAAACAGAAAAATGACCCACAGATTGAATATGTAGATGGATATATACAGGATATTTGCTGAACCACTGTAGTAACAAGAGTATGAAAACCCTAATGTCCTAATGGGAATGCCTGAATTATGACGTAGTGAAATCCAACATGATACTGGCACGATCTTTAAGATATAGGAGAAAAAGGCACAGCACAGAACAGTATGTGTGGCATGCTTTCATTTGTGTAAGTACATAAAATGCAAATATTTATAAAATATCTCTAGAGGGATATCCAATAAATTGGTAGAAGTTGTTGCCTCAAGGGAGTGAACTGCATGGTTTGGAGATGGAGGAACAAACACTTTTCACTGCATATCCTTTGGGTCTTTACAATTTTGCTCTAAGTACATGTATTACCTAGTTTAAAAAAAACCCATATAAAGCACAAATAATATCCCTTTTTTTTAAAACAGGTTAATCAATTCATGATATCTGAATACTTAAAAAGGACTTATTAGAATACTAATTAATATGCTTCTTATAAGATATGGGACAGTATAATGCCACAAACAAACTGATGGTTAACAGAAAGCAAGAAGCAAATATTTAAAAACAAGGGTATGGGGCTATGTTGCAACATAAGTCCATAAAGGGAAAGGCTTAACAATTTTTCATGGTCACATACACGTCCTTGTACAGATCTGAAAATCTACCTTAATCCTTGCTGCTCTTCTTTTGGGACATCCACCAGCAAACTCTTTTGCAGTTACTTACAAAGCAATTCTGAAAAGCTGGCTCATGTAGAACCACTACATAGTATCAAATCCACCTCCAAGTAGAGCTCAAAACCATCCAAACTAATGCAAACTCTAAGATGCCAAAAACATAGGAATTTAAGAAAATATTAATAAAGGCCAGAATTTAAGATGGAACTTTACAGGGTTTTTTAAATTTATTTTTTTATAGTTTTTAAAAATGCCTGTTAGCATTTACTCATGTACAGAATTGGCTGTTAAAATTTCCAAATACTAAGCAGCAAAAATTTTCAGTAGCCTGCCTGTTATATTCTAGTTTTATTGATATGATTCAGTTGACAATAATTATCAGAAGTCTGCAGGGTTATAATACTAGTGCTGAAAGTTACATTTTTAGTTAATAAAATTTTAATCTATTTTCAGCCTGAATTCTTTTAGGTCTGGTTTTATTTTCTCTAGACTATGGGTTCATATCACTTTGATCAGTTACTGAATAATGCTTTGGAAATCAACCTGTTGCCAATAAATAAAAACTAGAGAATTAGGCAGTATATCACAGATTTTAAAAATGCACTGTTTCTAATATAGGCAATAAAACTGAAAGAAAAAAGCTTTCAAGCATCTGACTCTGGAAACCTGACCAAAAAACAATGTGGAAAAATACTAAGGCCTTACTGCAATCCATTTTTCAAACTTCCAACTTAGGCAGCATATCAATATTTAGGAATCAGATGCTAAGTACAAAATGGAAACAAAGCTGTTGTCTTAACAAATGAAGGAGTATTTAGATACTGTTTTGACTTTATTTCAAAAAATGAAGTTAGAGAAGAAAGGGCAAAAGGAAACCTGTGAGAGAAAGTGTTATCTTGATTCAGTAAGATGATTCAGTCACTTTGATGCACAGTCTGGAAGCAATTCTATATATAAGCAAAGCTAATCTAAAGTATATACTTTTTTGGGGCGCCTGAGTGGCTCAGTCGTTAAGCGTCTGCCTTCAGCTCAGGTCATGATCCCAGAGTCATGGGATCGAGCCCTGCATCAGGCTCCCTGCTCAGCGGGAAGCCTGCTTCTCCCTCTCCCAGTCCCCCTGCTTGTGTTCCTTCTCTCGCTTTGTCTCTCTCTGTCCAATAAATAAATAAAATCTAAAAAAAAATAAAAATAAAAAAATATATACTTTTTTGTAAGAAAGTCAAACAATTTATTTTGTTTCTTATACACTTCAAGATTTTTCTGTATTAATCACTTTTAACTTATTTTTTGTTATTCTTTCATCTTTTACAAAAGAGATGTAACTGACATACAATATTATTTTAGTTTCCATGTGTACACCATGATTCAATATTTGTATATATTGCGAAATGATCACAATGTCTAGTTAACATGTCACCCTACATAGTTCTAAAAATTTTTTGTGTGATGAAAACTTTTAAGATCTACTCTATTAGCAACTTGCAAATATGCAGTACAGTATCAGTAGTTATAGTCATCATGCTATAAATTACATCCCCAGGACTTATTTTATAATTTTAAGTTTGTACCTGTTGACCCTCTCTCACCTGTTTTGCCCACTACCCACAATATTCATTTTTTTAAAAACAACTCTTGGCTGGGGTGCCTGGGTGGCTCAGTCAGTTAAGTGTCCAACTCTTGATTTCAGCTCGGGTAATGATCTCAGGATTGTGGGATCAGGCCCCACATTGGGCTCCGTGCTCAGTGGGGAGTTGGCTTGAGATTCTCCCTCTCCCTCTGCCCCTATTCCCCTACACGCTCTCTCTCCTCTCAAATAAATAAATCTTTAAAAATAAATAAAGGGACGCCTGGGTGGCTCAGTAGGTTAAGTGTCTGCCTTTGGCTCAGGTCATGATCTCAGGGTCTTGGGATCGAGTCCCACATCGGGCTCCCTGCTCACCAGGGAGTCTGCTTCTCCCTCTCCCTGTCTCTTCCCCCTGCTCATGCTCTCTCTCTCAAATAAATAAATAAAATCTTTAAAAATAAATAAATAAATAAATAAATAAATAAATAAAAACAACTTTTGGAATGGGCTGTCAACAAATTTCTGATTTTTATTGTAAAAGCCTCCCAGTATTCTATATTACAAAAGGAGCCGTAATGCTAGACGATAGAATGCAAAATGTGGGAATAATCTCTTTGGGGAAGATGGCTGAAAGTCAGCTACCATGTTTGGGAAAACTCACCTTTGTTTCTTTGAACTGGTAATCTTTAAACTGCTTAACAACCACAAATAAGTTATCAACTGATCTCAGACAATGAACCTGGAGAAGAGAAAAAAATGTTAGAAACAAAGTTCTAAGAAAGCTTTTGAATCACATGAACTATCAACATTTAAATATAAAAATTAGGTATAAACATTTTAAAGAAGCTAATACCTGTAATTTGTACTTTAAATTTTCCCCATATCCCCAGTCTCCCATGTTTTTGGTTACCCATTAGCTTCTATTTCCCTACAGAAACGTAAGAAGGAAGATGGAAAGATAGCTTGAAGTGCTACTGGGGAAACACAGGTTTAGGGGAGAAAGGAAGATAAAGTCAAGTGGGGCTTTATCATATTTCCCTCTTGGCTCCCTAGGGTACACTGTAGAGTGCAGTGGTTAAGAGCACAGGGTTTGAGGTCCAGCTGTTATTACTAGCTGAGCGACTCTGCAGAAATTACTTATTCCTAAGCCTAATGATTAATGAGGATAATAAAAGCACCTATCTTCACAAAGCTGCTGAGGTTATTAACTAAGATACTGGGTAGAAAATATCTGCTTGCCAATACATCCCCCAAATATTTACTGGGTGTCTACTATATGCCAGACACTAAGAACACAAAAAACCCCAGACAATTCCTGCTCTCACGATGCTTATATGGTAATGAATATTGGTTAGCTTTTATTCAAGTGGGATGGCAGTTTGCTGACGACTTCTCCCTTCAGTGATTCCTAATTACTTTTGAGCAAGAATTTCTTTGACACAGATTAAAAGAAAAATCTCTCCTTATTTGCTTCACCACCAAAGTCTAAACTTCAGTTAGATGTTGAAGTAAAGAAATTCAAAGACATTTGGCAGATATTCAGAATTTCTTCAAAAGTCACACAGGATTCTTTCTAGTGAAACTCATCCTCAAGAAATATTAGGATCACTGCTAAAAATATAGGAAACCTACTAGTCAAACCTACAAATCAGTACCGGATGGAAAATGAGTAATACTTTAAAATCACCAGACGTGGGGCAGAGCAAAGAAAAGCAAAAAGGATTCAAGAGGGGTCTGTAAGCCAGAAAATAATCATAAAATGACCTTTTTAGAAAACTATTTTAAATATTGCTTCATTCAAACCTGAGCCAGACTTTCCACTGAAATGTCAAAATATATCTTGCCCCGGTCTTTGCTGATTTTGCATGATGACCCCAATTTCTCTCTCACTTCATCTGCAGCTGTTTGCTCAAAACCAGTAGGTACAGTGGCTCCAACAGTGACTTGGAGGTGCTCAGACTCACTTCTAGGATCACTTCCTGTCACTTGTATAGACCTCCAGTTCTCATCAAGGTTCACATCCAAGAGTTGGTTAGTGGCTTCTTGAACATCAGACATGCTGGCAGTGCTTCCAAGATTCCTAATACAGTCCCTTTAAAAGCAGTACAAAAAAGAAAAAGAGATAATGCCTAAACATATCACCTCATAGTTCAACTATAATTAAAAACACCTGCTTTGGAGGGCTAGCAGAATAACAAGGCAACACAACTGATACCGCCATATGAAGGCAACACACGTGAATCAATATTCACCAAAGATAAAAGGATTGAAGAACATGGGCACAGAAAGCAGGATGTAAACTGTGCTATTATTTAAAAAGCAATATAGATGCTACGGAAGAAAAGGAGACAGAGAAATAGTATTTCCACAGCATGAAATGTCTGGTTTGGGACCATCTGTGTTGATAATAGCCGCCACATACTGTTAACAATTCCCCAACAGTGGCTGCTAGAACACATTCAAATACACTTCTACATCTAGTCCTTTTTCAGCCAGTAGTTAAGAACATAGGGCTTTGGAATTGCAGATACGGGTCTGAATTCTTGCCCTCACCATTCACAAGGTGAATGGCCTAAAACAAGTTTATTCTCCTATTCCTAAATTTCCTCATCTGCAAAAACGGGAATTAATACCTCTCTTCTAGAGTTGTTGGGAGACTTAAGTGAGAAGAACATACTGCCAGGCCCACGATTAAAACCTTCTAAGAGGATATCTATCTTCCTCCTGTGAAGTGGATAGTGAGTCGTACATTTAAAAAAGATGAACTGAACATCTACGATACGACGACTGCCAATGTTTGAACGTCTACTACAGGCCAGGCTCTGGGATCCATGGACTGGCAACGGTATCTGTGAAACGTCCTGTCTGTAAGCGGAGGGGCGGGGCGGAACTTAGAGAGGTGGGTAGTGGGGATCAATAGCGCTCACTAGATTTCCCAAAGGTTTTGTGACCCAAAACAACACAAGCAGGCACGGAGTACCTACAGAGTACCTGTTCTTGCTTGCTCTGTGCCCGGGCAGGCGACAGTGTGTAACACTAATAAAAGTCAGTTCCAGCCCCAAAGGAGCTTCTAATCCCTGAGAATACGACTTCCATCTTCTAAATAAAGCAGCTGAAGCCCACGAAAGGACAGACATATCCCGCCCAGGGTCAGAGAGAGCCGATCAGTGGCGCAGGCTAGAATGAAACCCACGTCTCCCGACTCACACCCACAGGGCCCCAGTGATAGGAATCCCGGGGTGCGGGGGAAGGCCTAGAAGAAGCAACAAAAAATGCTCCGCAACAGGATCGGGTTGAAGTCCAGTTCGGTGTTGGCTCGGGTCGCAAGACAAAGGTCGTCCCTCCCTCCCGAGGGTCAGATGGGCCACACCCGGCCGCTCCCACCCACTGCCCGGTTACCGGCCGCCAGCGCAGACCTTCCTGCTCCGCCAGACCAACGCGCTCAGGTCACGCCGCCGGAAGCCGCCTCGACTCCACCGGAAACGGAAGTCAGGCTGCGCGATCCCAAATGCGCAGAGCTGGGGAAGTGCGCCCGCGAAAGGTCGTGGAGAGGGGAGCATGCGCATACAGGTCTGTGCGCGGTGGCGCCGCATGTGGGGTAGCAAGCTGTTGCCGTTGGGGCCAGGACGCTCTACGGGCTGAATCTGGAGAGCCCCGGAGCCTGTGGCCTGTCATCATAGTAGCTAACTTTTATAGCGTGCTTCGCCATGCCAAGCACTGAGTAAGCTTCACACGCGTCATTTCATTTGTTCCAACAGCTCTTTGAAGTGACACGGACTATCCCAGTTTTAAAGTCGGAAAAAGTGAGTCTCAAAGAGGTTACATATCTTGCTCAAAATGTCAGGCGCAGCGTTTTAGAAGCAGAACTGGGTTTTGAATCTGGATGGTGTAACTCCTGAATGCTTCCTCATCACGTCTGACCCAGTGTTGTTGAAACTAGTCCCTGAGTTATATATTGCCTTCACTACTTTTGTCCAATTGCACTCTTGATTATTATTTTTTTCTTTAAATATATATATATTTTTAAATATTTATTTATTAGGGACGGGGGAGGGGCAGACGGAGAGGGAGAGAGAATCTCAAGCCGACTGCAACCTCTGTCTTTGGAGGGGCTGGATCTCACACCCTGAGATCATGACGGGAGCCAAAATCAAGAGTGCTGCTTAAGCAGTGAGCCACCCAGGTGTCCCTAAATATGTTTTTAACTTATTTTAGAAGGAAACTTGTGCAACTCAACAACAAAAATAACCCAATTTTAAAATGGGCTATGGTTTGACTATTTCTCCGAATAAAATACACTTATGGCCAATAGTCACATGAAAAGATGCTCAACATCATTAGGAAAATGCAAATTAAAACCAAAATGAGGGGGGGAAAAAAAGAGGGATATCTGGATGGCTCAGTTGGTTAAGCGTCTGCCTTAGGCTTGTGTCATGATCTGGGTGTCCTGGGATGGAGTCCCAGGGTGGGCTCCCTACTAAGCAGGGAAACTGTTCTCCCACTTGTGCTCTCTCTTGCTCTCTCTCAAATAAATAAATAAAATCTTAAAAAAAATGAAATATCTATTTTGGTGGCTAAATTTTTTTTTTTTAAGATTTTATTTATTTGACAGAGAGAGCGAGAGAGGGAACACAAGCAGGGGGAGTGGGAGAGGGAGAAGCAGGCTTCCCGCGGAGAAGGGAGCCCGATATGGGGCTCGATCCTAGGATCCCGGGATCATGACCTGAGCTGAAGGCAGACGCTTAACGACTGAGCCACCCAGGCGCCCCTAAATTTTTTTTCAAATAGTGACAAGTTCCACTAGGTATATAGAGAAATGGAACACTTACATGTTGCTGGTGGGAATGCAAAATGATACAGCCACTTTGGAAAACAGTTTGGCCTTTCCTCAAAAAGTTGAACAGAATTACCACTTGACCCAGCAATTCTACTCCTAGGTATATACCCAAGAGAACTGAAAAACAGATGTTCAAACAAAAACTTGGACACGATGTGCCTACAGCATTATTTGTAATAGCCCCAAAGTGGAAACAACTCAAATATTCATCAGCTGACAAACGAATTAAAAAAGGTGATTTATATATCCATATAGTGGAATATTAGTTCAGTCACAAAAAGGAGTGAAGTACTGTCCTGATTCATGGTACAAAATTGATGAACTTTATCTGCGTTGGTGGTATAGTGGTGAGCATAGCTGCCTTCCAAAATGGATAAACCTTGAAAATATTATGCTAAGTGTGAAAAAAACAGTGCCAAAAGACCACATATATGATTCCCTTAGTATGACATTACAGCATAAGTAAATATAAAGAGACAGAAAGATTAGTGGTTGTTTAGGGCTAGAAAGAGTGAGGACATTGGGGGTAATAGCCAAAGGGTATAGGGTTTTTTTTTTAGTGGGGAAATGAGAATGTTCTGGAATTATATAGTAATGATGGTTGTACAACATTGTGAATATACTAAGAAACTGAATTGTACAGTTTAAAATATTTAAAACGGTGCATTTTATGTGAATTTTATCTCAAAGGAAACTTTGGTCTCATGGGAAACTCATCTGCAGTTTCCTCTAATGCAAAATGATATTCAAGAATTGTTGCAAGATTTAAATGAGATTAACATGCTACCTGTCTCATAATTGAAGTAGACAATGCCCCTAAGATTAATACAGTGAAAACAAAACAAGGTTATTAAAATCCTGGCCAGATACTGTTCCCTACAAAAGGCTCTTACTAGGCTTTAAATGTAAGGGCCATTCTCTATTCTTTAAAAGGATAAATTATCAAATATTAGAGACAAACTAGCACTATATGAGGCTTTCTTGACTTAATGAGAGGGATTAAAACATCGAAAAGATTCTCTCCACCTGATTCAGTGTTTTTTAATGCATACCTTTATACTATCTAAAATCATTTCTGGGGCACCTGGGTGGCTCAGTTGGTTAAGCATCTGACTCTTGATTTCAGCTCACGTCATGATCACAGGATCTTGAGATCAAACCCCGTGGGGGGCTCCTCACTCTGTGGGGAGTCAGCTTGGGATTCTCTCTCTCCCTCTCCTCCCTCTGCTCCTTCTCCTGCTCTCCCTCTCTCTAAAAAATAAATAAGCCTTAAAAAAATAAAATAATTTCTCATAAACAGGTCTCACACTTGGGGGAACATTGCTCTAAGACATTATCTGCCTGTGGTATCATGGTAGGTGTCACTAAAGTGACAGAATTTATTGAGCATTTATTATGTGTTAGGCACTAGGGATACAGCAGTGAGAAATTATTCTAAAACTTACATTCTAATGGAAAATAGAGACAATACAGGGAACATGTAACATTCCTGAGATGATAAGTATAATGGAGAAAAACTAAGCAAGCTGGGGGGATGGAGAGTACTGGAGAGAAGGAGGGGAATGCTTATTTTATATCAGTTGGTTAGGAAAGGCCTCTTTGATGAAGTGACAAAGCAGAGCCTGAAGGAAATGAGAGAGCAAGACATTTGGATATCTGGGAGAAGAGCATTCCAGGCAGAGGACAGGAATATGTTCCAAATGGTCTGGGAAGATCCAGGAGGCCAGTGTGGCTGGGGAGGAGTGAGTGAGGGGGAGAGAGAGGATTAGATGGGGTGGGTACATCATATAGGCCGATATTTTACAAATTATCATATATTCAAAAAGGATCACTCTGGCTGCTGAATGGGCAAGGATGGAAGCAGTTACCAGTCTATTTCAGTGGTCTGAATGAGAAATGCTGACAGCTCAAACTAGGCTATTAGGGATGTGTGTGGTGAGAATTGTCAGATTCTGGTATATTTTGAACGATGACTTGTCATTGCTGTTGGATTGGATGTGGTTTTGAAAAGAAGGTAAAGAACAGGAGGTTGGGGCACCTGGGTGGCTCAGTTGGTTGGGTGACTGCCTTTGGCTCAGGTCATGATCCTGGAGTCCCGGGATCGAGTCCCGCATCGGGCTCCCTGCTCGGCGGGGAGTCTGCTTCTCCCTCTGACCCTCCCCCCCTCTCATGCTCTCTTTATCTCATTCTCTCTCTCAAATAAATAAAATTAAAAAAAAAAGAACAGGAGGTTTGAGGGATGTATGCTGAAGAACTTCCACTAAAATGCTATGAAGAAAGTAAAAATGGATACATTCACTCTTTAAAGTTCTGGTTCTGGTTTATTGCAAAGAGTAATGGTATTTTGGCTTATGTCAGAAAACCCCTGGTATCTGCTGTAAAAATATTGACTAATGTGGGTCCTTGTTCCAAGATGCCAGTTTTGGGTAAGTGACATATACATGTGGAAATAGAAGCTTCTAATTTCTTTCTGCCAGTAGTGTTATATTAAACTAAAGTGACCTCTGTGAAAATAAGCAAATGATTAAATTTTATAATTTCCATCAGATATAGTGACACAAATTAGGAATTCAGTGTTAGTTGTTCCCCTGAACCCAGATATCTATTTTACTCTAACAGCTGTCTATTCTTGCCTATTTTTTTTTTTTTAAAGATTTTATTTATTTGACAGAGAGAGACACAGCGAGAGAGGGAACACAAGCAAGGGGAGTGGGAGAGGGAGAAGCAGGCTCCCGGCCGAGCAGAGAGCCCGATGTGGGGCTCGATCCCAAGACCCTGGGATCATGACCTGAGCCGAAGGCAGACACTTAATGACTGAGCCACCCAGGCGCCCCTATTCTTGCCTATTTTTAAGGCTAAAACAAAGTCAGGATTAGAAAGTCAAATAGTACAGCCACTCCCTAGCTTAGACCCTTCCTTTGCTCTTTTACAGAAACAAGAATTATTAACTACTACTTCCTTTAGTTCACATGGTGACTTCCTCCATGTCTCTAAATAACCTGCTTGTAGTGCTGTTTCTTGCATTTTCAATTTTGGTCATTATCTACAGACTCTGTTAGGGTACTTGAGGCTTAGCCTACTAATATCCCCACCATCCTACTTCCCTTCCCTTCTCTTCCCATTAAAGTTACAACCCAATATGTTGAGTGCCTGGCTGGCTCAGTCAGAAGAGCATGTGATCTTGGGGTTGTGAGTTCAAGCCCCATATTGGGTGTAGAGATTACTTTAAATAAATAAATGTAAAGTTACAACCTGATATAGTTTGTCCCTCTATGTTAAATTTACCAGGTAGGGCGCCTGGGTGGCTCAGTCGTTAAGCGTCTGCCTTCGGCTCAGGT